AGTGGCGGCGATGTAATTCAATAGGGTTTCGTCTGGCTGGGGCGCCGTCATGATTGGAGGCTTCGTTAGAAACAACTTGAGCTGCTTGAAAGCTGTATCTGCCTCCTCCGACCAGGAGAAGTGCTCGGAGGCCTTGAGTAGTTTGAAAAACGGTAGACCCTTTTCGCCGAGGCGCGATATAAAGCAGCTGAGAGCAGCCATGCACCCTGTAAGCTTCTGTATATCCTTTACGCAGGTTGGCCGTTTCATGTTGGTGATGGCGGAGACCTTGTCGGGGTTGGGTTCGATACCGCGGGCGCTGACAATGTAGCCCAGGAGTATACCGGATGGAACTCCAAAGATGCACTTTAAAGGGTTCAACTTCCATCTGTATCTTTTCAAGTTGGCGAACGTTTCTTCGAGGTCGACGATAAGATTGTCGGCGGTTTTGGATTTGACGACCATATTGTCGATGTAGGCTTCGACGTTGCGGCCTATCTGTTGGTCAAGGCACATCTGGACAACCCTCTGGTAGGTCGCCCCGGCGTTCTTGAGTCCGAAGGACATGGTGGTATAACAATACGCACCGAAAGGCGTGACGAACAACGTCTTGATCTGGTCGTCCTCTTTGAGTGATATCTGGTGATAGCCAGAGTAACAGTCGAGGAAGGAGAGCAGTTCGTAGCCGGCGGTGGAGTCTAGAACCTCATCTATCCAAGGCAGACCGAAGGGGTATTTAGGACAGTGTTTGTTGAGATTTGTGTAATCAACGCGCATTCTCCATTCTTTATTCTTTTTTTGAACAAGAACAGGGTTTGCTAACCATTCAGGATGATACACTTCTTTAATAAATCCGGCAGCTAGGAGCCGTTTTATTTCTACACTAATAGCCTCCTTGTCTGACGCGAATCGTCGGAGTTTCTGCTTGATCGATTTGGCGGTCGGCGAAACATTCAAGGAGTGTTCGATCTTCTCCTATGGTACCCCCGGCATGTCTGCAGGTTTCCAAGCAAACACGTCGGCGTTGGCACGTAGGAAGGAGACGAGCGCGCTTTCCTATTTGGGATCGAAATGAGCCCCAATCTTGACGGTCTTGATGGGGTCGTCGAGGCCGAGGCCGACCTCCTTCGTTTCCTTGGACTTGGCGAAGGCACGAGGAGGCTCCAGCGCTGAGATCTCCAAGTCGTCGGTGGGCACCGTCTTGGCGTCGGTGACCACGCTAGCCATCTGTACGGAGAGGTCGATGGCTTCGGCGAGGGCAAGACTCTATCTCGCAGGGCCAGAACTCCTGCAGGCGAAGGCATCTTCAACACCAGATAGACGTAGTGCGGTATGGCCATGAACTTGGCCAGAGCTGGCGTGGTAGGCGGTGTTGAAGCCGGCGACGTAGAAGTTGATGTGCTCGACGCGGTAGTTGCTGGCCGTGGCGAATTGTACCGGGAGGGTGATCTCTCCAAGCGGCTTGAATGCCCCTGCCAGGTACCACACCCTAGGAGGAATCGGAGGGTGTGAGATCTTCTATCCTAAGGCCCAGCTCCTTTAGGGCTCTGGCGAAGAGGAGGTTCAGAGCACTTCCGCCATCGACGAGTACTTTCCTGAAAAGCACTTTCCTGACGGTTGCATCAAGAACGAGGGGGAAACGCCCTGTGTAAGGGATGTCCGCCCATTGGTCGGCCCTGCTGAAGGTGATGGGGACCTCGGACCAGGGACGATAGCTGTGGTTGGCGATGGCGTCTTCTGCGTTGACGGCAAGCACCCGACGGGCGGTGAGCTTCCGATCTCTTCTGCTTTCGGTGGCAGCGAAGCCACCGAAGATAGTGGCGACCACTTTGTCGTGATCCTAGAAGACGTTGTTGTTGTCGCCAGGTGGTCGGCGACCTCTGGCTCCATCGTCGTTGTCGTCGTCTTTCTTTTTGTCCTGGAATTCCTTAGCCAAGCCAAGGCAGTACTTCATCTTGTGCTTGTTGTTCTTGTGGAGAGAGCACGGGCCTTCGAGGATCTTCTTGTACTGCTCGTCGTAGTTGCGCTTAGCGCGAGGTTCGTCAACGGCGGCGACGATGTGGTCTGGTCGGCGGCGACGATATTGACCAGATTTGGACCCTTCTTGCCGATCACAGCCACTGTCCCGTTGGTGACTGCGGCCGTCGTAGCGGCGGTCGCTGTAGCGTCGGTCGTAGGGTCGCTCGTCGCTGCGGCGAGTTGGGCGGTGATTGCCCGTATCCTCATTGAAGCGTACTTCGGCCTCTTCGGCGTCGGTGTACTGATCGGCAGTCGTGATCATCTCGCCAATCCCCTTTGGCGGCTTACGATTGAACTTGGAGCAGAGGTCGCGGTGGTGGAGTCCTCAGACGAAGGCGGTGATGACTTCTGCTTCCGTGATGTTGGGAATAGAATTCCTCATCTCGAAAAAACGTCAGATGTAGCTACGGAGGTGCTCGGACGGTTTCTGATAGATTTGATTCAGATCATGCTTGGTGCCCGGCCGAGTACACATAGTCATGTAGTTATCGGTGAACACCTTCTTCAGCTGTTCCCAGGATTCGATGGAGTCCGGGGCGAGGCTTGTGAACCAGTTCATCGTAGTTGGCGTGAGCATGACGGGAAGATAGTTCGCCATGACACTGGTATCTCCCCCGGTGGCGCGCACAGCAGTGACATAAGCTTGTAGCCACTGTGTGGGGTTCATCCGTCTCTCGTAGGGTTTGACCCCGGTGATTTTGAAACCACGGGACCACTGGAGTGTTCGGAGTGCCCTCGTGAATGCTCGGGGCCCTTCGGGATCGTCACCGTCGTGATCTGCGGCGTTGCCGGCGTTGAGTGGCTGGAGGGCTGAGTCCGGATTACCGAACTCTTGCTCATATTCTTGACGTCGGCGTACTTCATGGCGAGAGAAACGGCGCCCGTCGATATGACGACACGCGTCTCGGAGATTGTTGATGTGTGCTCGGACGTCTTGGTCGACTTCTTGATCGTGTTGGCGAGGGTAGTCGATGTGGTTCCCCCTAGCTCCCCCTAGAGGGGTCGTCCGTCATCACGGTGCTGGTCGGCGAAACAGCTTCTGCTGGGGCGGCGATTGGATCTCGGCGCGGCGAATCGGCGAATCGAGCTCGTCGAGTAGGAAGGTCTCCGATCCTGGCGAATTTCGTTGACCTGGCAGTACGCCGCTTTAAGCATGGCGGCGACCTTGGCGACTTCTGGCGTTTGCTCGAGCTGGGCGAGCTCATTAGCGGTCACGGCCAAGTTGGCGCTTGGGGTCTTGTATACATCGTGGTCGTCGACACGGACGAATTCATCGTCGAGGTTGCGTTGGAGTGGACGTGGCCTCCCTTGCGAGTCGAGTTGTTCGTTGCGAGCGGCCTCGGCTAGCACAATGGCGGCCTCATTTGCTCGGCGCTGTGCGCGATTGGCGTTCCTGTTGACATGAGCGACGCGGTCCTTGTCGGTTTCTCCATCCCGTGGAGGGCTGTCGACGCTGACGTTAAAAATCCCACCTCCTCGGAAGGGTGGGAAAGGAGATTGGACGGCGGCGGTTTCGGCGACATTCTCCGTGGAGCCCTGGGACTCGAGTCTGGATTCTCCTCCAGGATGGTGTGGAGGGATGCTTGAGGCATCGGCCGATGTGCAGCATGTTGACAGTCGGCGAGAACTGGTCGGCGATCTGATCGGCCAGAGGATAGATGTCTCCCACCTGGTCGGCGAATTTGCCCCTTAGGGCATCTTGATAGGTGGCGGCGATGCTAGTGAGCCCAAAGGGTAGGACCGTAACCCCTGGAGTTTCCTGATCAGCATCCGATAGATCTGAATCAGAGGGTGGTCGGCGCTGAATCAGAGTGGTCAGAGCCGATTCTGCGATGGAGAGGTAATCGGTGAGCTTCTGGCCAACCTGATCGATGGATGCGATCAGATCGTCATTGTTGATCCGCTTCCTCGGGTAGCGGGGGAGCGGGCGGCGGATTGTTGATGAAGACGACCTCAGAGGCGGTTCCGAGATCGGATCTACAGTCATGGGTGTTGGGGTGGTCGGCGCAGAATCGATCTGCACCGGCTTGATGATCTCTCCGTCTCCGTTAGCATTGATGACCCAGGAGATCGATCCGATCATAAAGATCTGGCCGGGCTGTGGGAAGGACGAAGAGCCTGCAAAACGTACCATCTTGTTCGACATGGAAACAGCACGCACACCCCTACCTGGCGCGCCAACTGTCGACAAAATATCGTCTGCAATCCTCCGAGGGGTATCCCACGAAGGTAGATTGATCGGCGGAGGTGCGCGTAATCAAGAACAAGAAGGCAACAGAGACACAAGAGTTAGATAGATTCAGACCATCAGCGCAACGTAATACCCTACTCCTGTGGTCTGTTGGATTATATTGGCTTCGTATGATGTTACCTGTGTTTTGAGGGGGTCCCTGCCGTCTTATATAGTCTGGGGGCAGGGTTATAAGTCGGTTAGATCTAGGAGATAACCAGAAAGTAATAACAGATTACAGGAATCATGGGATCGAACGTATCCTAACAAATCTCGTAATATCTTCAGGATATCTTCCTGGTGTCTTGCGGGCGCGCCGAGCAGCGCCGTGCTCCGCAAGGCTTCGTCTTGTGGGCTAGACCACCCCTAAGGACGCATCCCATGTAGTCTGTAGTAGGTATCCGGGGTGGTACCCCCCACAAAAGGGAAAGGCATGGTAGGACTGGAGAAGATAAACAAAGGAGATATAGACCCGAGACCTTCAGTCAGGCTGAATGGGCGATTGTTCATGATGGCATGCATGCAGGATAGGGGTCGATTGACTTTCGAAGTTTCGATGGCCATTCGGCTTGCTTTTCATCAGGTTAGTTCTCTTGCTCTACTTCATATAGAATGTGTTCCTTCGGAAATAAAAGAAATATTGTTTATGCATGCAAAACACCAACTCAAATGCCAAGAATAAATGGTACTGTGGCAGTGACAGTGTGATTACCCTCTGAAAAATGATAATCCTGAATTTTCTTTTTAGTTTTGGTTTTATTACTAGACTTACCGAGAAATATTTCAGTTCCTCAATGTCAACATATTTCAAATCCTCAAGCTCAACATCACCTGCATTAGACCCCTTAATGCATGCTGTACATCTAATTCAATCAAACACAATGTCAATTTAGATCACGCCATGACTCAAGAAGACTAGACGAGAACTGGAAAGCTACCTTCTTAAGCCATCAAGAACCTCCAGATTATTTGGGTCACACTTCAAGCCCTCTAGGTAAGTTGCCAAAGCATTTTCATAACTTTCCATCAGGAACTGGACTTTAGCTTTACGCATATAGCCCTTTAGAAAATTTGGATCTAGTTCAATACATTTCTCTGCATCCTCAAGACCTTGAGGAAAGGCTCCCAGATGGATGTGGCATTGAGCTCTGTTGCTAAATGCCTGTAAGATCAATCATAAATTAAATGAATTGCTACAACCAGGAGTGCCAAAGAAAAAATGGTTCAGTTCCAGAGCATGTCTTTACAGCGAACAATGCATGCCAAATATGACCGATCATAGATGACGTTTTACCAATGCAAAATTTTATTTTACCAAAAAATTTACAAATTTCAAAAGAGGTACCACCTCCGGTCATATGAGGGAGTTAGCTTATTTTCTTCTTGTTTTCTTGCCTGAAATGTCATCTATATTTGACTGAAGAGTGCTACTTTACTAAGGATCTGGAGTTGCCTTTACTTGAGAAGGAAAATCAGGGGAACAATGAATATGCTTACTCTTGGATCCTTTGGGTTCATTTTCGTAGCTCGTGTGTAGTGTATTGCTGCTTCATGGTATTTCTTCTGCCTGAAAAATTCATTGCCTGCAGCATTTCACAGTAAGGGGCAATTGTATCATTGTATGGCATATAACTAGTACTTAGGAATTGGATACATGATGCTTAAAAAACACAGATTACTAGCAGAAGTATCTACTCGTCCCTTTCTTTTGTGCTCTGTCTTCTTTCGCATGGAAATCCCCATACTATATACACACAAAAGTACTAAATGGAAATTTCTGAGAGTATTTCATTGTCAACCAAAATGTGTGTTTCCTTTGTGATTGATATAAGAGAATACAGAACAAAGAAAGAATTAAGGAGCAAGGCTATCAAAGCATGGACAAAAAATTGGGAACAAGGAGATGGAAATTCAAGAGTGCCAACAGATTGAGAAGAGATAGAGTCTTCTTTTATTTTCTTTTCCTTTAGCTTCTACTTTATTTTTCTTCTTGTTTTCTTTTCTCTTTCTCTTGTGGTCCTTGTCTTTTTCGTTCTTTGCCGCCTTGGCATTGCATATGTACAGCTTGCATTTCATTTTAGTTTAAATTAGGTAGAGGCCTCCCCTCCCCTCCCGACTTCCTCAAAGAAACATTGTCCGATTTCACATTTATATAGTGCTGTAATCGAGCAACATCCAAACCTTTCTCGCGGTATTGGTTGGCGGCCTCCTGATCCAAGCGCTCCTGTTCCTCAACCTCCTTCCTCACGCTCTCCGCCTCGTTGAGCTTCTCGAGCGTCTCCTCGCTGTAATTTTCGGCCAGCGACAGCTTGAGGGCCCTTATCGCCGGCGTGTAATCCGCGGCGCAGCACGCGAGCTCGAGCAGCGCCGACGCCTTCTGAAACAGCGCCTTCGCGATGAGCTCGCTGCCGGAGCTGAGCTCCCTGCCGCGGTTCACGGCCTCGTCGCAGTCCCTCACGCACTCCTCGTACTGAACATGTCCCAAAGCGTTAGCGGCCGGCGGATCGCAGCGAGGGTATATGGGATAAAATCATAGAGGGAATGGAGATGGGGAACGCGAACCGGAGAGACCTTGCCAACGCGGAAGTAGGCGGCGGCGCGGTTGGTGAGGAAGGTGATGTCCCTGGTGCCGAGGGTGTAGTGCTCCGCGGCCGCCTCGAGCGAGGACTTGAGGTAGGCGTCGTTGCCGGCCTCCTTGGCGCGGCGCGCCGCCTCCGCTTGCTCGTCCCCCTCCATCGCGCGGCGACTCCGGATGGGCGATGCGGTGGCGCTACGGCGATCGCGAGGGTACTTGATCCTCCGCCAGCGGCTTGTGGAGGTGGCGGTCGGTAGTGCAGCAGCGGCGACTTGCAGAGTCTACGCTCTACGGCCGCGGCGGGTTGGTTTGTCTCTGACAAGTAGGACACACCGGGGTTGAATGAGGGCTCCGCCTTCTAGTGCGCTGAAGGCCAGTCTCTCTCACACACACACACACGCACTTCAGGAATGCTCAGCCTTCTAGTGCGCTGAAGGCCAGTCTCTCTCTCTCACACACACACACACGCACTTTAGGAATGCTCGGCTGCCGTTATAAGCGTCTTATATGCTATAGTACAATATTTTTTTCTTCCAACAAATTAGACGTATAAATTAGCACAAGCGGCTTTACGAGCAGCCCAACATGCACATACGAATGTATTACCACACGCATAATAAAAATACCTCAACATGCACAGACGAATGTATTACCACACGCAAAATAAAATACCCTAACATGCACCGACGGATGTATTACGAGACATCATCAGCTCAAAGCGTGCATTAGGAGCTCCTCCTAGTGATGCATGTGACGAGCCTAAGGGATACGCTCCGACACCAGGTCCCGAGGCGCTTGAATAATGGTGTGGTCGTCCGAGGCCATGCCAGAAGGAGATAAATCTGCGTGATGCGCGTGTAGTTGTGAGATACAAGACGTCGTAGTAGTGTGCCTGAAAACAGCTGGAGAGCATGAAAGACCGACGGTGCGGTGGCGTCGCTAGAGCTCACCGGCTATCCCTGATGTGTCCAACAATAAAGCCCACGACGCTCCTATAATGGGCCTCACTGAAGATGAAAGAAGGCATCAGCTAGAAGAGAGAGCGTGAAGGAGCGAGTGGAGCGAGTGAGAGCTTGAGTCCTAGTTTCCACTTCCACTTCTCTTTGTGGTCCGTGTGTTCGAGCCTCCCAAAAGGAAAAGCCGTATGTAATTCTATCTGTTTTAATGGAGCAGCTGGTCTTTGAAAATCCCTGTCGTTCTTTGGTCTAGTCTCATGAGATGAGCCTCTATGCTAGGGACCCTATAGGAGAAACCTCTGCGCGTGTTTTTGTTCTCGTCTTAGCCAGAGAGGCGTCTGAGAGAACCCTGCTATCGTAGAGAAGTGTTCTCTTCGGGTGGAACTGCCTGGGGAGACGATAGTAGCTCGTCGAAGTGTGCCATGACTAGAGAATATTAGGAAAGACAGCTCGTTCCATAACATAGGTTCGAGATAAAATGGTGAGTACCGAGTAGGACCAACCGCCTCTGAGATCCTGCATACACCCATATGCATACCCAAAAATTATATTATACTCACACGCATACGAATATTTGGAACATTATATTACACATATCAGAATATACTATGCGAGTATTAAATATCAGAATATACGAGATCAGCCCATATTAATACCTTATATCGGCTACCAGCCCATATTCATACGTTAATATACACTATATATATACAGCCTAGCGTGTGGTATCAGAGCCAGGTTTTCAATCATTGAAAGATTAAAGTATCTGAATTTAGAGGTTAGCACAGGTAAAATAATTAATACTAAGAAAAATATTGATATAAGGTGCCGAATAAATCCAGTAGAAAAACATACTGCATAACGGATCGGGTTTGGGGCGGATATCCGCGGGTTTCGGGTTCTGCGGGTTCGAGTTTGTGGCTGGTTTTTCACCCACGGTTTTCGGGTTCGAGCCCCGAAACCATTCGGGTTCGGTTTTCCACCCGTGGATATCCAATGGATATCCGAAATAAATCATTTGGAATTAAAACTCATGTTTTATAATATACTAATAATAATTTGTTTACTTAGATTATTAAATTTATTTAAAGTTGACTCATGAAAATATTTATTATTTGTTGCCTCTTGTTTATACATGTGAATATGTGTATATATATCCGCAGGTTTCGGGTATCCATTCGGGTTTCGGGTATCCGTTCGGGTTTCGGGTATCCGCGGGTTTGGTTTTGGTAATGGATTTCCACCCGAATCGGTTTTCGGGGCGGATTCGGGTTTCGATTTCGGTTTTGGTTTTGGGTGCACGGAGACTCCACCCGATCCGAACCCGACCCGTTGCCATCCTTAAGCCAGCCAGCCACAGAGCACGCACACACAGATCGACCGAGCGCCTGGCGTTCGTGGCGCCCTCGTGCGTTTGCTGGTACACAGTAGTACGAGTTAGCCCTTGTTTAGTTCTCCAAATTCTTAACTTTGGCACTATAAAAAAGAAGATTTTCCGTCACATCAAACTTGCGGTACATGCATGGAGTACTAAATGTAGACGAAATAAAAAACTAATTGCACAGTTTGCTTTAACTTTGCGAGACGAATCTTTTGAGCCTAATTAGTCAATGTTTGGACAATAATTCATAAATACAAACAAAATGTTACAGTGGGGAATCTTTTACTGTGCAAAGTTTGCACCTCTAAAGTTGGCCGAACTAAACGCGCCCTTAGGCAATCTCCTTTCGGGCCCGGGTGAGTGGTGACTCAGGGTGGGCGTTCGGTTCTCGGTTCGGTTTCGGTTCGGTTTCTTCGGTTATCGAAGAAATTCGGTTCCTAGAAAACGGGAACCGATCGGTTCCAAAAATTTTTAGGAACCGAGCATTTCGGTTCTCGGTTATTTCGGTTCGGTTCCGGTTCTAACCGAACTAACCGAATTTTTTCAGAAGACCTCAAGACAATAATAAATATACTTGTTCTAAGGCAAATTTATGCAACACTATATTCATTTTTAATAATAATAATATATAAGAAAACAATAGCAATATAGTAACACAAATATATAGCAGTTCAAATATAAAACACTACACATAATCCTACAAAATACAAGTAAGTGAAGTATAATTCATGTAATTCGGTTCTTTCGGTTAATTCGGTTAACCGAGAGTAGGAACCGAATTTTCTTCGGTTATTTCGGTTCTTCAATATCAGAAACCGAATAAGGAACCGAAATTTTCGGTTCCAGTTCTTTCGGTTTCGGTTCCGGTTCTTTCGGTTCGGTTCTCGGTTGTCGGTTATTTTTGCCCAGCCTTAGTGGTGACCCGGGGGTTTAGGTAAAAAGGGTTGCGTTGCGTTGCATCCCGGCTGTCAAAACACGTTTCCGCTGAGGCTGGTTGATCGGACAACGGAGTTTGGCGATTTGCTCCCGGGTTGTTCATGTCCCGCGAAAGGAAACGCCACGGGTTCTGAAAACATCATCCATACGTGGACAGCACTCGTACGTTTACTAGCAGAGAAGTTACTGTACAACCATGTGTAGAATTTTCTCCTCGACGAGAGGTTCTTTACAAAAGGTCAAGGACCGTTTCAGTCACTCCGTGGTTGTCTCTGCTTCCAAACTACCTGCATGCAGCGGCCGCTGTTTCTCCAGAGCTGGCATGTCACATTCTTATCTATCTATCTCTCTCTATCTATCTATCTACTCGTATCTATCCCATAGCTAGAGGCAGTAGTATGTGTCGCAAATCTTTCACTGATCTGACGACCCTTATCGCGTTATCTGATGTCTGGTGCGACGTCGGGAACGTCGACCTCCGGACGCAGTTTCATCAGTAAAGCTGGTCTAATCACAACCTAATGCACGTACGTAAACACGCGAACAAAAATCCCTGTCGTTCTTTGGTCTAGTCTCATTAGTTGAATACTATTGTGGATCTGATATATAACTTCTTCATATCTTGGCGAAAGAGGCAAGATATCCTTGATAATAAGTTTGAAAGCTTACTGACAGAATATCAGAAGCTTACAGAAAAAAATCACGGGCTCAATAATAAGATCAATATCATATTACATAAATTAGAAGAAGTCAAAGGAAGACAATATACGGTCTGCAAGATCATAACGATTATATTAAAGAAAAAGTCATATCTATAGGGAAGAATCTAACTAAAATATCTATATCCAAAGAATTTCCATTCAAAACAAGACTTGAGATCCTAGAAGTTAAAATACTAGCTCAAGAAATAAAAACCTTGATCATATCATAAGTTGTATGTCCGATTATAATCAAGCATTAACAGAGGTAGCAAAATACTTAGCACCACCTATTGGATTTTCAGATCACGATTCTCCAAAGGAAGATTCCAAAATCATAATAAGATAGAATAATACTATCCTGCAGCTGTTAATTCAGGTTTTGCAGAAGCTAAACGCTAAACAACGCAACAAAGATATAGTGCTAGCTTTAACAGGTATAGTAGCATCATCATATAGTATCAATTCAGAAAAATGGACTTACCTAAAAGTCTCATCAAAAGAGACAAAACCATCCAGTTAGTAAGACAAGATTTAAAACCTCTAACTTTAAAGCATAGGCTGTCTTTGTCATGCAGAAGAGAAGATATTGATAATCTAGAAGAAGTCATTAATGTTCAAAGAGACTTAGAAAGATATCAGAATGATACCCTAAGAAAAATAAGACCACAACAAGTATATCATATGAAAATATTTGAAAGTAAAAGTGGGTTATACAGAATATCAGGAGAAGTAGAGTTAAGCGTGCTCACACATCCGGTTGATCTAAGAATAGTAAGCAAGAATATTGAAAATGAACTCATATATTCCGGTTACAAATATATTCACCAAGGCATGTATATCATAGGAGTAAAAGGATTGACAATAAAGAAATTAGGAACAAAGGTCCTAATAACCTTGTTGGATAAAAGATGGGGAACTATAGATAAAGCAGCTTTAGGATTTATGGAAGGAGATATGAATGAAAATAGATTAATAACGTATATAGCACCAGATTTAATGATGCCTGTAAAAGAATTCGCTGAAAAAATGAGCTTTGGTTTTCAAACCAAAGGATATGAAGATTTTAAAGGTACGAATTTACTAGTAAGCATAGAATTCATAGGAAGGCTAACTAATAAAAGTAGCTCAAGATATAGAGTAAATGTGAATGATGTTATTGAAAGTATGCAATCCAAGGGTATAAAATTTAT